CATTGTTTGGTAGTTGCTTCGGCATTGTTTGGTGGTTGTCAGGGAGTTCTGAGGGGTTGCTAGGGCTTTGTTTGGGGGGTTGCTTGGGCATTGTTTGTTGGTTGTCAGGGAGTTCTAATTTGTGGTTACTTGGTAGTTCCTCAAGCAGTGTATGGTGGTTGCTAGTAGGGATGCACCGGTTGACCGGCCATAAATCGGAACCGGCCGGTTTTTGCTTATAATGCGCGATTGGCAACCGGTTTTTTGTATTTTTTTCGTCCAATTTTTCCGGAAGTGGGCAATACGGGCAGCCGTACAGCACTGGAAATGCAGAGCTACCTGTCTGAGGCACAGATACCAAGAAGCGAACAGCCGTTGGTGAACTGGCACACACATAAAAGCCGCTTTCCTGCACTCGCTGAAGTTGCGCGAGTGTACCTGTCCGCACCCTGCTAGTATGTTCTGACTGGTTGCTAGGTTTGTAGGGTATTTTAAATGTTTGTGAGGTCATTTTAGGTAATCACTACAGTGTTCTGTGTAGGTGATAGGACATTCTATGAGTTTGGTGGTTGTTAGGGTATTCAGAGTAGAGCTGTAATCGGGCCTTAAAAGTTAGGCCCGACAGGGCCCGAGCCCGACAAGTACATTTTGATTGACAGCTTTTTAAAAGCCCGAACCCGTTTACAGCCTGACATCAAATGTGCGCACGCACACAGCTCTTTTGCCTTTTGTCAAGAATGAGTCATTTATACATGTTTTAACATAATTTATTCATGATTAACGTAGGCTATAGGCCACTTGGAAGTTGGAACAAAGAAATAAAATAAGTCCTCTGTAACATCGTAACATCTCAGCACTCTAAATAGGCCTAGGCATACACTTAGTGTAAATAGGCCAACGCGCCAATAAAAATGAGTCTTTCTTAACAAATTAAATTAAGATAAATTCTAAATTAAGATGGGTATTTGGCACTAACGAAATAAAGATAAAGGCTCCGCGGGATTTGCTTCGCCACTTCTCTCCACAATCCTGCCGTACGCGACGGTGAATAGCAGCTGAAATTTAATAAAAGAATAATGCCAACATTAGCCTACATACCCTGTCTACATTATGCATTTAAGACTCAATTAATATTTAGTTATAATTTTAAAAACCTTTACTCACCAAGATTAGGCTACATGGTTTTGTGGAGGAAAATTATTGAATCCACTGTAGATGGCTTCAGCGCGGTCCTGCGCTCACTGATGGTGCGTCCAGCAGCACTGAACACCCTTTCACTGCTGCTGCTACTGGCCAGGATGCATAGTACTGATCTGGCTAATTTTGCAAGTTTTGGGTAGGATGGTTTGTTGATCTTCCACCAGCCAAGAACATCCATTTCATTTTCCATGACAGCCGTTTCAATGTAGCGAGTGACCTCGTCATCTTCCCAGTCAGCTTGCTGTACATTTTCCTCCTCAGCATCCATTTTCGCATCTTTCTCGCGCTAATCGAAACGCATCACATGACCGCTCATTTACCGCGCAAGCGGAGCGCAAGCCAGAGCCCGTGTAAAATTATATAAATTAAGCCCGAACCCGTCGGGTCCCGTCGGGTTCGCGCAAAGATCTTCAGCTCTAGTTCAGAGTGGTTGCTAGTATGTTGCTAGATGGTTTCTAGGGTATTCTGAATGCTTGTGAGGTCATTTTGGGCAATTGTTACTGTGTTCTTTGTGGTTGATAGGACATTCTATGAGTTTCCACTTGCTAGGATATTGTTGATATGGTTGCTAGGGAGTTCTTAGTGGTTGCCAGGGCATAGTTTGATGGTTCTCAAGGAGCTCTAATTGGTGGTTGCAAGGTAGTTCCTCAAGCATTGTTTGGTCATTGCAAGTATGTTCTGATTGGTTGCTAGGTTTCTAGGGTATTCTGAAATGTTGTAAGGTCATTTTAGGTGTGCTACAGTGTTCTTTGTGGTTGATATGTTCTTTGGTTGACTATTCTTTGTGGTGCTACAGTGTTCTTTGTGGTTGATATGACTTTCTATGAGTTTGCACTTCTAGGACATTGTTTGGTGGTTTGTTAGGGTGTTCGGAGTGCTTGCCTGTAGGGTTGGGTACCGAAACCCGGTACCAATATGGCACTGGTACCTATGTAACCGGTATGTACTAGAACCGAATCAGAACGCAGATTTCGGTGCCATGCCTGAGCGATCAATTGAAATATTTGTCCTCTGGTTCTCCGAAACGGACGTAAGAAGCATCATCACCGCACGTGAAAAAATAATTTCCCGACTGAGAAAATGCACGTGAACTCAAGTCGGAAAGCTCTAATAATACAAATCCAACAAATCTTTGTATTAACGAGAGTGTCCATGCTGTTTTCACATTCCGACTTAAAAGCACAACTCGGAAAATGAGGGCATCCGAGGAGTGCATGAATGCAGTAATTACACTTGCTCTGATGGCAGCAGGTATCCTTCCGTTAACTAAGCTAAACATGCTTAAATATGAATGAAACAGACATTCTGTGTTATAGTGCTAATGGCCAATCCATCATTTTTTGGGGAATTTTTATTTATTTTTTAATAAGTATCGGTTCAGGCACCGTTTAGGCATCGGAACCGTTTTAAAAGTATCGATTTGGCACCGGTATCGAAAAAAAAACAAACGATACCCAACCCTAGTTGCCAGGGCATTACAAGAAAACTGCTAGTTGTTCTTACTTCTGAGGAGTTGCTCAGGCATAGTTTGGCGGTTGTTTGGACATTGTTTGGTGGTTGTCAGGGAGTTCTGAGGGGTTGTTAGGGCATTGTTTTGGCCGTTGCTTGGGCATTGGTTGGTGGTTGTCAGGGAGTTCTGAGGGGTTGCTAGGGCATTGTTTGGTGGTTGCTTGGATATTGTTTGGTGGTTGTTAGGGAGTTCTAAATGGTGTTTGCTAGGTAGTTCATCAAGCATTGTTTAGTAGTTGCTAGGGTGTTCTGACTGGTTGCTAGGTAGTTTCAAGGGCATTCCGAGTAATTGTAAGGCCGTTTCAGGTGATTGCTATGAGATTGTTAGGACATTGTTTGGTGGTTGCTAGGGAGTTTTGATGGGTTATTATTGCATCGTTTGGTGGTGGCTTGGGTGTTCTGAGTGATTGCTAGGACATTTATAGAAGGTTGCTAGGTGTTGGTGTTTAAAATGGTTGCTAGGTTGTTATGAGTGGTTTTTAGGTTTTTCTCAAGCACTGTTCAGTGGTTTAGCCTTGCGTTTGTGTGCATGTTTAGTGCACACCGTTTATTCACACATGCATAGATGACTTCTGCACGTATATGTACATGTTTTGAAGAACGCTGGCAAAAACTGCAGCATGTCCCACTGGCAATGTTTTTGATAATTACTGCATGAGTTTGCGCATGTAGCCCATTTCTTCTTGATGTTTCAATAACATAAAATTTGGCTGAAAAACAGCACACACAGGAAAAAGCATCTTGAATGCCGCACGTGATGACAGCCTTTTGTTGTCATGGTGATCTCACCAGACCTTTAATTTGTTTTGTGTCTCTCAGGCAGATTGAATTGCATGAAAGTATGTTGGCTGTAACCTTCGGGCTGCCAGACCTCCCCTCACTTACCGCTGTGTGTCCTAATTAAGCTTTGTTTTACACACTGACTGCCAGCGTGAACGGCTGGCTGGATTGTTTGGGATACGGAGTCCAAATTCTGGCATGCGCAGGGAGTGTGTTTTTAAAAGACGTCTAGACTGATTTGCGCTGTGTTTTATCATACACTGCAGGCATCCCTGGGGTTATTGATTTACTGGACTGGGCTTCAGTATAATGAAAACTGTGAGGAATGTTTTCATGACATGCAGTGCTGTGCATTAAATAGCTCATTTTAAACTTGTTGCTTCTGAAGGTTTCATACATTCAGGTTCACCTTTCAACCATTGTTGTAATCGTTTATGAATATGAAATTATGGTAATACTTCACTTGAAGCCTGATTAAATAATGCAATATCAAGGCAAGGAAAATTTATTTATGTAGCACATTTAATAAACAATTCTAATTCCAATTGCTTTACATAGGCATGATAAAAAGTTTAAAATAATTTAATATCACATGTTTATTTAAATTAGACTAAGCAAATAAAGAATAAATGAGAATAAATGAATAAAAAATATAATATCTAAATATAAAATATAAATATCGTTAAAAGAAATGAAGAAAAAAATATATAGTTATATAACTATATTGTTGTTGTTGTGTGTGTGTGTATATCTATCTATCTATCTATCTATCAATCATTAATCTCAATAATCTCATTGTTATTTTAGCATTATTTCTATACTATTATAGTATTAATTTTTTTTAATTACTATTTTTGTATTTTTTGCAGTTTTAATTTTAATCTTAGATTATGTTTTAATAATTTGGTTATGGGCTTTTGTCATTTTTATTAGTTTCATGTTTTTATTTTTATATTTTTTTGTAGTTTTATAATTTAAAATGTTTGTCTAATGTTCATTTATTTTTATTTCAGTTTTAGTTTTAGTAACAGTAGTATGTTTTAATAATAGTAGTATTTTGACTTAAACTTGTTGCCAAAGAAACATTTCTAAACTTTTTTGTGATTTGTGATTTGATGACTTATTTTTATTTTATTTTATTTATTTTTATATATTATTTCAATTCCATTGCAGAAATCTTTTTAAATATTTTAAGTATTATACATATTTCATATGTATTTAATATTTTAATATTTTTAATAGTTGATATTTTATAGATATGTAGTGTATGTATACTTCATCAGTCAAGTATTATATACATGTGTGTATTGTTATTGTTTCTCTAAAACTAAAACAATTAAAATTGAAATGTGAAAATGTGTGTATACACACACACACACACACATTTTAATTTTAATTGTTTTAAAACAAAACTATGCAAGGAAACAGAAAATAAAACCCAGACTACATTAAATACACATGCAACAGGGATAAACAACATTTGCAACGAGGTGCCGACCATCTTTTTTTTATTATTTTTTTTCTTTCTACAGAACTTCCATATGGCTGGGAGAAAATAGATGACCCTATTTATGGCAGTTACTATGTTGAGTAAGTTCTTCAGAATTCTTCTTTCAAATTTTAGTCGAATCTGACCCCGAATCATCCGTGTCATGCTCTTCAATAAGCGTGCCGAGGGAGGGAGGGTCCCCGTGATTAAATATCTGCTCGTTCTGCCCCGCAGCCACATTAACAGAAGGACACAGTTTGAGAACCCCGTCCTAGAGGCCAAACGAAGGATGCAACAGCAACAGCAAATGCAAAGTCAAGGCCTATCGGCGCTGCCATTGCCCACAATATATAGAGGTACTGCTTTTCTCTGTGGCCCATATATGCCATCTTCACCCAGTTGGTTTTATTGGTGTTTCTCGGTTTCGGGTTGCTCAGGTGTGCCCTAATTTCACTTCACTTTAGCTTGACCGAAGCACCAAAGACCATGCAGTAGAGATGGCTGTGCGTTGTGCCGTGTATTCCTCTGATTGTTTATATGTGTTTGTCTTCACAGAAAAGCCTCCATTCACGAGGGACGCCACACAACTCAAAGGGACGTTCCTCACCACGGTGCTACAGAAGAGCAACATGGGATTCGGCTTCACCATCATTGGTGGGGACGAGCCGGACGAGTTCCTACAGGTCAAGAGCGTCATACCTGAGGGACCTGCAGCCAAAGATGGCAAGATGGACACAGGTGAGAAGGTCAAGGAAATCAGGAAATCAAAGTGATTTATTAATATTCCTCATAATAATATATTTTAATAATATTCCTATAATATAAAAAACAGATAAGTGTATTATATGAAATGTAAGTAAATTATGTGTGTGTATAGTATTATATAACTATGTAAAATATAATGTTTAAATATAATTAATAATATACATAATTATTAATAACAATTAACTTAATAGTTGTGGAAATATATTTTATATATAATTAATATTTATATAATATATATTTAAATTTATCAGTAGTTCACATTCAAGTTACCTTAGGTTAACTTTATTTAACAATTTGTTTTCTGAATTTGTCCAAGCGATAAAATAAGATCAAATATAAAAATAATTTCAGTGACACCTTTCCGTTTTATTACCAGTGATTGTCACACCAACCATAGTTACTGTTGCTAAGGAAAACAAACAATGCCTGCAGGCCTAATTGTCCAATTTCCCCGGACTGTTTGGAATTACAAAATTGAAAATTATGCCCCCTTTTAATACACAGACACTAATTGATAGATATGCAGTGTTGAGCCGTGACCTCAGATCTCAGGAGAAAACCCTCAGCGCATGGGCTAGGAAACATCATTATCTCTGTAGCCACCGCTTGACAACAGCCCCTAATAGCTTGCACAGAGCTAGCGCAAGGTCACGCTTGTCGCAGTGTGTTTTTCTGTGATGAAAACGCATCTTTGAGTGAGTCATCACAGGCGGACGCCGAAGGCTTATTTGCTGCTTTTTCATAAGTTCTCTATTCCCTTGTAGAGGAACTCTTAACCTAGTATGGGAAACTTGCGTCCTGGCTGCGACTCTACCTTTCTGGATGGCTTGTTCGTTTCCTCGATCATGTGTTAACTTTAGAAGTGTATCACATCTGTGTGGTCTGAAGATGACATCACTTCCCAAGGCCCTCACAGATAATGATGCTGGCAGTGGCTTTATTTGCATATGCCTCCAGCTAGCGTTGCAATTTGGGCTTTGGTGGGATCTTGTGTGTTTTATCCGCTTTTGATGGGGGAACGGGGTCCATTTATAGAAGTCCTACTCTATTCTGCACACACATACACAGTTGGCTTGTTTCAATAGTTTCAATAGGCCTCAGGTTGCCTTTATTACTGAGATGCCTCATTATCGGCCAGCTTTGCTGATAGCTCGCTCGGTTGGTGTCTACAACTGTCTGCACTTACGCAATAAAACCTTTTGTGTATGTGTGGAGAGGACTTAAATCCGAAATTATATTATTTAGTAAACATTTGAGTCAAAGAATGTCTATTTAAGCATGACATAATAGCTCTGTTCCAACACCTAGTGAGCTGTCTTGCTGTCTACTGTCACATTAACAACATTTTGGCAAAATATCGCAGGAAAAAATTGGTTATTGTAAATAGTTTAATGATATATTAAGAACAACTCACACAGAAGTTGCTTTAAAATCGAGATGGTCCTCACTGCAGAACACAAGATCCAGGGGGCGAGGTTGGATCCAGATCCAACTCCTCCCACCTTACATATACCTAAACCTACCCGTCTCCACCCCCTGATCCCTAAACCCACCCATCTCCACCGCTAAACCTACCATCTCCACCCCGTAGATGTGGATCCAACCCCGCCTCCTGGAGTTTTGCCCTCGAAAATTCGTCCAAACTTTGAAGGCCTGTTTACACCAAGGTTAATACTTAAACATACCATTTTAAAGGGACAGTTCACACAAAAATGAAAATTCTGTTATTAATTGCTCACCGTCATGTCGTTCCAAACCCTTAAAGACCTTCGTTCATCTTCGGAACACAAATTAAGATATTTTTGATGAAATCCAAGAGATTCTATGTCAGAACGCTGGCTCCTGTGTCAGCAGCATCACACATGCATCGTCGTACTTTTGTGAACGTGCATCAAAGACTGACACGGAAGAGAAGAAATTGTTGAATTAAGTCGTTATTCTTGTTTTCTTTGAGCACAAAAAGTATTCTCGTAGCTTCATAACATTACGGTTGAACCACTGATGCCACATGGACTATTTTAACTCTATCTTTACTACCTTTCTGGGTCTTGAACGTGGTAGTTGCATTGCTGTCTATGCAGGGTCAGAAAGCTCTCAGATTTCATCAGAAATATCTTAATTTGTGTTCTGAAGATGAACAAAGGTCTTACGGGTAAGGAACAGCATGAGGATGAGTAATTAATGACCAGATTTTCAATTAATTTTCATTTTTGGGTGAACTATCCCTTTAATAATTGTTCTAGTTCTGTGAGAATAGCGAAGTCCACACCATTACTATTGTATAACGATAACAACATGAACGATCCTTTACGAAGTTAACCATGGTTTTACTACAAAAGAAACCAAAAATCCATGGTTACTACAGTTAAACTATGGTAACCACAAAGTAACCATGGTTTTGCTACACTAACCATAGTTTAACCATGGTATTTGTCATAAAACTGTGGTTATACAAATGGTACATAATCAGTACGCCCACCTTTAGTAAAACCCATGATTAATTTTCGAAAGGGATAATGTTGGAATTATCAAAATAATATTTTTTCGGCTGATAAATAACACAAACAATGTATTTAACAAAATAGTATTTAACATTAGCATGTTGCTAAGCCAACAAAGTGTACTTTAATAAGGAACAAATGCATTTAAACAGGGTTTTCATACTTGCTGAAGTAATGACTGAAATGTAGCTTGACCAATAGCATGCAGGCATTGTACATAATTGATCAATCATGGTGTGCAAGAAGGCGGGAGAGCGAGAACGGTCAAAATAATGTAAATATGCATACATATAATGTATGTGGTCTGCAGAGATCATGTCAACAGCAAAACAAAACCAAAACCGTACAGTTTAGGCAATTTAGAAATCCTAGCCAGGACATGAAAGAGGAAGAAGAGGACTTATGGTCATCCTAGCATAAAATTACAGTAAAATGTAATGAGCCGATATCCTTAATAATTAAGCCAATTTCAGGATATACGCTCTCGGAGCTAGTGGTAGATATGAAAGTGATGACATAATGCACTTGGGAGTATGACGCTTCATATTTTGTTTAGTTCTCTCATTTCTTTCATTATTTCTTCATCAGGTGATGTGATCGTCTACGTCAATGACATCTGTGTTTTGGGCACCACCCATGCTGATGTGGTGAAGCTTTTCCAGTCCGTCCCCATTGGGCAGAGTGTCACCCTGGTGCTGTGTCGAGGTTACCCTCTCCCTTATGACCCAGAAGACCCCTCCGCTAGTTCCTCCATGCCCCCTTTGGGCCTAGTGGATCACCCGTTGCTGCTCAATGGAAGGAACAACTATGAAAATTACATGGAGTACATGTCTTTGACTGGACGCTTAGTACCCGAGCATGGTGAGGGCCTTACCTCGCATCCCCATCCTGGAGACACACACCTGGATGGCTCTCAGCCTCCATCCCTGACCACACCGGGACTCCCACCCGATGACAGCGTCTCCATGGCGTCATCCTCAGGCGCAACCACCGGCGCTCAAGTGGCCCCTGAACTTCTGAGTCTCACTATAACCAAAGGCACAGAGGGTTTTGGGTTCACCATCGCCGACAGTCCCACAGGGCAAAGAGTCAAACAGGTGCGCTGATATCCATGTTACACTTTGAACAAACGTTTTCATATCGGGGGTCTCAAACTCCAATTAAATAGTATGCATAAATAAAACAATTAAAAAAACGTTCTATCGATCTATCTATCTATCTATCTATCTATCTATCATTTTATCGTACTATCATTCTATCTGTCTGTCTGTAGGGCTGCACAATTAATCGAATGCGATTTTCATACGCATTTTGTTAAAAAAGCCGGTTCTGTAATCAGCAAGAAATCATCATCTCGATTCCATTTCGATTTATCGTGCAGCCCTATCTGTCTGTTTGTCTGTCTGTCTGTCTAAATATATGTTATTTGTTGTTATTTTAGAAAACAAAAATTATATATCATTTTTTTGGAAAATGATCAGTTATATATATTTATATTTCTATATATCAAGCACGATATGTGTCATAACTGTTTCTACATGTTTGGATCAGGTTCTATCTATCTATCTATCTATCTATCTGTCTGTCTGTCTGTCTAAATATGTAAATATATGTTATTTGTTGTCATTTTAGAAAACAAATTCTATATGATTTTTTTGGAAAATTATCAGTTATATATATTTATATAAATCAAGCATGATATGTGTCATAATTGTTTCTATACGTTTGGATCAGGTTCTGGAGCCGCAGGGTTGTCCGGGGTTATGTGAAGGAGATTTGATGGTGGAGATTAATCAGAAGGGTCTCCAAGGACTCAACCACACACAGGTAGTGCAGCTGCTCAAGGACTGTGCAGTGGGAACAGAGGCTACGCTTGTCATTCAGAGAGGAGCAGCAGCAGGTGCGCACATTTCCACCCTTCATTTTTAAAACCAAGTTCGTCAGAAACGTGCTGAAGGTTGCCTGAAATCTACGTCAGACCTTGGCAAAGTACAGTGTTCACTGAAAATTGAAATTTCTGTCAGTATCTACTCAGCCTATTTGTCTTTTTTTTCTGTTGAACACAAAAGGAGAAATTTTGAGGAAATCATACACTGCACTTTTTCAATACAACGATCGCATATAGTGACCAAGGGCTGTCCAAAGCTCCAAAAACCTGCATGTTCCAAGGTTTCAGAAGCCATGACAGCTTTGTGTTCAAAACAAACCAAAATTTAAGTCTGTTTTTTATTTTTTTTTTAAATAACAAAAATCATTGTGGTTAATTGTGACCCTGCAGCACAAAACCAGTCTTAAGTCGCTGGGGTATATTTGTAGCAATAGCCAAAAAAACATTTTATGGGTCAGAATTATCGATTTTTCTTTTATGCCAAAAATCATTAGGATGTTAAGTAAAGATCATGTTCCATGAAGATATTTTGCAAATTTCCTACCGTAAATATATCGAAACTTAATTTTTGATTAGTAATATGCATTGCTAAGAACTTCATTTGGTCAACTTTAAAGGCGATTTTCTCAATATTTAGATTTTTTGCACATACATCAATGGAAAGCTTATTTATTCAGCTTTCAGATGATGTATAAATCTCAATTTCAAAAAAATTACCCTTATGACTGGTTTTGTGGTCCAGGGTCACAAATGTGGATGTTACCCAATACTTACTGTTGAATTAGTTAATTTGCCTCAAGTTTGGCATAAATGATGATAATTATTTAAAGAACGCCGAATATAATTTTTGGGTGAACTTTTCCTTTAAAGTTTTGGTTGAAATGCTGAAAGTAACTTTGTATGCTTAGTGCTTCGGTTTTTAGTCTTTTCTAAGCGCTCTGAACTTGCCTTAAGCTTTGATTCAGCAAGATTTTGAAATAAGAGGAGAGAAACATTCCTATTATAGATTTCTAGATGTGCTTTGCCTCACAAACTAACCAGTACATCTCAATTTCTCAGACTCGAGCTGTTTTCTTTCAGAATAACTGAAGCTGACGAGCTGTTTTTGGGCAATTTTAGCAAAGCCTTCGCAAGATTGCACACTGTATCATCTCTTGGCAAGAGCTGGTGACAGTTATTAGCATATTCAGACTGGAGCCAAGCTAATCTACTAATTCCATGCAAGTCCACTTATCGGAGTGCTTACTTTCATTAAAATGTCCGTGCAGAGCGTAATATTTTATCACCCTTCTTAATTAGGATATTCTTAGAATGAAAATGAATGAGGCAATTAATAGAAACTATCTTGAAGAAGGCTACAGTCTGTGCATGTGTACAGTAAACCTGATATGTGTTCTTAAGACGCTTTTCTGTTCCTCTAAACCACTATCAATCAAGTAATTCTGTCCATGCTTCCTGTCAATTACGCTGTGCGTCTGTTCTCACCTCCTCTGCGTGTTTCATGACTATATCGAAGGCTACGGTCTTAAAGGACCTCTCAGCAACCACTCCAAGGCCTCTTGTAAGGGAGCGAGAGACGGTCCCGTGTGAATCACTGGCTAAGTGCCAGACCATTCAGTTTCCTGCCGGCGTTCTGCCAAGAGCCCGGTCAGAGCCATGTTCACAGCTCTTTTCCCCAGTTCTCTAATTAAAGCACGACTCCCACACTGAGCTGTGGACATAAACAGGCAGACGAATCAGAACGCAGAGTGACTCGAGTGGGGCGGGGCATTCGGCGAACAGGCCAATCAGAGCGTGTTGCTTCCCAGCATGTGTCACTGAGGGAATACTCTGAAATAGATGCTGAATGAGGAGATGTAATTTATTCTTGGTGACGTGAAGAGTTTATATTATCATAATTTACATAAATTTACATTAATATATCTATTTAACAGTGGGATGAATGGGCAAGTAAATGTCAAGACAAGCATAATTTCACACCAGAACAAGGTGAGAATTCTGAATTCAAAGATGGTAAATAGACAGTCTTTCTTTTGCACTGTCCGCACAAACTTGCAGTGTAACCAGAGCCAGTTATATGTTTAAGATTAATTTTTTTTCCTCAAATAATAAAATATTTTGATTTATTAGTGTTTAATTAGGACTAGGGATGGATGATATAGCTAAAAAAAAAAAAAAAAAAATTTATTTTGG